GAGAGTGAGGAGACAGGGTCAGGGTGAGCCCCAGGCCGAGGGACCTAAGTGGAAGAGCTGCATCTCTGCCCTGGGCATCTCTGGGCACCGCCCCAGAGCTCATCCCATCAGGTGCACCTGCATCTCTCATGTGTTCAACAACGACCCACCACTGAGCACTGCCCACGCCTGTCCAGCCGCAGGCTCCACTGGAGAGAGTAGGACCATGGAGAGAGTAGGGTCAGAGGGGGTGGGTGCCGTGAACATGACCTCGCATAGGCTATGGCTCTGCAGCAGAGGGTGCTGTGGGTGTGGCAGGCAGGCAGGGGCCGGGGGGGGTTCCCTGGGGAGGCAACTTGGATGCAAGACCCAAATGGGGAGCGGGACATAGAGGAGCTGCCAAGGCCCTGGAGACCACTGTTCCCCCCCGTCCCTGTGCACCAGCGCCCACCACTGCCAGCCCCTGTGCAGTCCCCAAGGCCTCACCTGGTCACTGTGCCCAACTCACACCTGTTCTCCCCCCACCGCCCCGTCACCTCTGCCTAGAGGGACTTGTGCAGCTGGCTCCACTGTAACGCTGCATGGGGGACACCGCCTGCACCACACACTACACCTCTCTCCTTCAGGTTGCCCAGGGGAGGCACACTAGGCCCTGGTGCCCAGTGCCTGGCATTTCCTAGAGGATGTGCTTGCTCCCCTTGGAGGTCAGTGCTGTCACTCAAACATGTACCCCTTGAAACTAAGGAGCTCCACCTTCCTGGGGCACCTGCCTGACCCCAGCATTCAGAAACTGGATCCACCAGGGAGATCTGATGGGGCAGGAGGACACTGTCCATGTCTTCTGAACCTGGTCTACACAGGCAGCTAAGAGGCCTGAAGGGAAATAGAGACGTTTGAGTATCTAGTTCTAAAATCCATCTTCAACCTGAGAGGAATGTGTCAGTGCCAAGTCCCCTGTTGGTGTGTGTCTGCCCCAAGTGACAGGGACAGCCTCAGATCCGTTTGTTTCTCACTGCAGCCCTCACATGGGGTGCTGGTCCCCTGGACCCCTCTCTGAGGGCAGATTCTGGACACTGGCTTATTGTGGGTCTTTCCCAACAGAGACGGCAGGTGGTGCCGACCTAGGTCGCCAGAGAGGAGGGTGCGGGGCTTTGTGGTTCCTCCCTCCCAGCTTTCCTGGTGGCCTAAGGGTGCTGGATTCCCATCCTGCAGGGGCTGCTATGAGCTCCGACTGTGTGACAGGGCCTGGGGATAGCGCTGAAGCGTGTGGCCCTGACCCATCGCGAGTGACACGGCAGCTCTGTGCTCCTGGAGAGGAGGCTGCCACCACTGAGGTCACTCTACTGGGATGGTGACAGCAGCAGAAGTCCACAGCTCGACTGTCCCTAGCTGGCCCATCAGCACAATCCCCTAAATCTAGAAGTTCAAAGAAATCCAGCTGTCCTGACTTTACATATGCTAATTTTATAGAAATCATCAGTTGCGGTAACCTTCAAATCGCTACATTAATAATGCCACTGCCTGCTGGGAGATGTAGAACTTGTTGGGCCTAGCTCTATCCTTTTTCCGTAGGATGCTACAGAAAAATGAGAGGGAATGCCAAATCGTGAATCAGCAGCATCAACAGGCAGTATATTTAGCATAGAAGTTTCCAGCTACCCACCAGCCATTAATTTATCTTTCTTTACAAAATATGAATGTGAGAGACTTAAAAGTCCGTAAATAAGCTTCACTTGGGCACTTTGCGGCTTCACTGATTATCATTGTTTTTCATCATGGAAAGTTGCTCACTTATAAAAAATGCAAACTGTGACTATATTTCCAATGTACAGAGCTCCAGCCAGAGCCATCTTCCAGCAGAGGACCCATTCCCGGAGCTCAAGGGTGGGGACAGTCCATCTTTTCCACACTCCGACACACGGGGTGCTTATGTCTATGTAAAAGATCCAACCCAGGCCTGGACATGTGGAGGCCATGCAGGCTGGGGGTAGGGGAGGTTGGGGGCACTCTGGGAGGCTGAGGCAGAAGGATTGCAAATTGGAGTTTGCGAGACCCTGTCTTAAATAAGAAGAGCTGGAACCCGGCTGGGGATGCAGCCCCACACCTTCCTTTCCTTTCCAGGAGGTCAGTGGCTGGCGCTGGTCTTCCTGGTGGAAGAAAGCCACTCTGTGGCTGCACCCGGGTAACAGACTCTGGTGTGGTGGAAGGGGCTCCTTATGAACGAGAGAAGACAGCCACGCCCAGGAAACGCTGAGGGTTTTAGAAGTCCTTTGCCAGGAAGTGCAGACCAAGACCAAGTGCATTTCCCAAGGTACCACACCCATTTGGGGTGGTGGTGGTGGTGGTGGTGTGTGTGTGTGTGGAGGGGTGGTGCACGTGCATACACGTGTGTGTCCCACTTCTGTGCACACCTGTCCTGGCTCTGTAGGATGACAGCTGCATCGGAGGCGAGGTCATGCAACCACCGCAGGGCACCTAGAGTATGCAAACCTCTCTGCTACATGTCTAAGAAAGTGATGTCCCAGGAACCACGTAACAGAAGAGGCTTGGCCCCCAAACCCCTGCTCTGAGCTTCAAGGGCAGCACAGACGCTGCAAGGAGCAGAAACGCTGCAAACCCAGCGCTCCCCAGAGGTGGGCATAGCACACAGGAGTAGAAGTTCCAGGGTCAGGCGCAGAAGGGGCCAGGCCAGCCACCGCTACAGATTTCTCCCCATGCAAGCTGTTCTCCTTTTAATGTCTTGGGACTAATTATTTCCTTGGTGGTCTAGGAAGCCAGCTCATTAGATTTTCTTCTTTTGAAGTTTTCCCCCAAGATTTTAGTGCTACACCCTGGGTTTCACACAGAGACAGAGTTTAGAGATGACTGCCGCTGACACTGCATGGAGGTGAGGAAGAGCAGCGTATGCTCCACAGAGGGGCTAGCATGCTTCTCGGGGAACAGCGAGGGTGAGATCTGGGCACCTGGCACGTTAAGGAGACGGGTGCCACGGGACCCGTGTGCAACCAGGGGGCAGCGTCTGCACAGCCTTCAGACAGCTGCTCAGGAAACCGGAGAAAGCCCACACTCGCTGTCTGCAGTTCAGCCGGGCCCCTCTAAGTGGCTCCTCTTACACCTTCCCTAGGACATGTTTGCTAGCTGAGGCAGTGGGGTCAGGACTAGGGCTGTTATGCAGGCTGGGGATATGAAACAGCATCAGAGAGTGGAGCAGGAAGAGCAGAAAACTCTGCTTCTTCAAGGAGACGAGAAGAGGCGGAGGACAGAGTAAAAACCAACTGGGAGCAGGTGCCCAAGAAACATCTCTCTCAGAGCCTATGCTTGCTGGGCAAGTAAAACCCTCCGATCCATGCCAGCATTTACCTGCCTGGTGTGGCCAGTGGCTCAGGGTCATCTGTGCTGTGCACAACACAGAGGGGATGCTGGCTGCTCCTTAAGGACAAGTTCTCTGTAGAAGAAATGGCCAATGACCTTGCAGACCAAGGAGAGAATGAGGGGTCCTGAGACAGATGTGTAATCCCTACCTCATACCAATGCAAAGGCACAGCCCATGGGAACAGAGACCTAAATGTGACATGTGACGTCAAAACACTCCCAGACCCTCCCTGCAGTGGGCTGTTTGTAACTCAGGGAAAGGGAGAGAATCTTTAGATAAGACCTAAGGGTCTAAACCAGAGGCAGTGAGCCTAGGGCGGCGTGCATGCCACATCGGCTGTTTGTGAGCCCTGAAAGCTCGGAGAGGTTCTCCATCCCAGGTCTAAACCACGACACTGGAATGAAGCATTTTTCACTCGGTAGCATCCAAATTGACAAAGCTAACCAGTGAGTACCAGACTGGAGCCTCTCCCTCCCTCTCTCCCTCTCTCCCTTCTGCTCTGCTCTTCTCTCTCTTTTTGTAGCACTGGAGATTGAACCCAGGGGCTTCATGCTGAGCTACATTCCCAGCCCTTTTTGTTTCATTTTTAATTTTAAAACAGAGTCTGGCTAAGTTGCTCAGGTTGGGCTCAAACTTGTGATCCTCCTGCCTCAGACTCCCGGAGTGCTGGGATTACATATGTGAGTAGCTATGCGCCCAAGCTTGCCAAATCAACCTTATGTTTAACATCCGAAACACCTTTACAAAACCACAATGAGAGAAAACAAAATTTTTAAAAGTGCCAAGTAAAGTGGAGAATTCACAGACTCAACTCAAACAACAAGGATGTACAAAGAAGCATCTTCAGAGATATACCGTAAAGAGACCTAAAAGTATGCTGGATTCGTGAAAATAAAAGGTAAGCCAGGTTGGCCTCAGCTCGTTTATTTTGTATCCTACTACCAGGGAGAGGGGTGTTTGGGTCTCCTGGAGTCTGCAGGGAATGTGGTGCGTGTCTTAGGGCTCACTGGCTCATTGTTCATCTTCCTTTCAGCTTCTCTACCTCCCCAGCTAGGTTCAAACATGACTTTCAGGGTGAGGCTACCACAGCCTGTGCCTTTGGCATCTATGTCAGCTTTAGGGTGACTGAAACAACACACACACACACACACACACACACACACACACACACACACACGTGGACAAAACCCCTGCAGCACTGGACTCAGGCTGCCTGCACTGTACTGGAGAGAGCCTGTTGCAAAATCAGAGCCAAAGTATCACTAGGCAGAGGTTGCCCTGGGAGAAGTGCCCAGCAGGGTCCAGGAGAGGAAGAAGCCAAGTCTTTTCAGTGGATAATTTTCCTCCTCTCATTCACAGGGACGAGTGCACCCAACAACAAGAAGCTTTAATATGTTCACCTGTGCCTGGACTTGAATCGACGACAGACTCTGACGGGCTCCCTCAGTGGACTGATAGGAATGACTGGAAGCCCCATGTGTACACCCTGGGCACATGATGCTTTCAAGGGTCTGTGCAGCCCCACAACGCGAGAGGGGAGCCGGTCTGTGATCCAGCGTAAGATGGAGTCCCTGGCACTCACTGAGCTTGGTGTCTGGTGCTGCTCTTTCCCCCAGAAACGTGAGGCTTCTCAGCTTGGCTTCCACAGGGTGCATTTTGCTGCAGGTGCCACAGAGCAAATGCTGCAGCCACTGCCAGGGACCCGGATGCCAGGCCTGGCCCTGCACACAGAACTCGGCCATCTGCTCAATAGCACAGGGGGTCATGCTCGGCCCCCGACATGTGATAGCTTCATTGGCAAAGGCCTCCAGAGAATCAACTGTGACACCTGCAGCCTGCTGACCACAACCCCCCAGCCACAGAGTGGTGACTCAGCACAGGTGGTCGGATCAGTGCAGGGCAGGGCACCCCACCCGCTGAATAAAGCGAGGCGCCAGTGTGAGCTGGAACGAGCCAGTATGAGCCGGAACGAGCCATGTCCTTGCCTGCACTGAATGTTCCCACAGCATAGAGCAACATGGAGAGAATAAAGGATAAAGAGCAACAAATCCCAGATTTGGGCTACAGCTCCAAATGCACCACGAGACAGTCACCTTGCAGGGGATCTCTGGGCTCTGGGCTGGACTCTGTTCAGGTTCCGGAAGACAGGTCAGGCCTCGTGGGTGCTGACTATGGTGGTCGCAGCTCTACATGGATAAGAAAAGGCCAGTGTGTCGGCCAGGGAAAGCCACTCTGTGGGTTGTACCCACAGACAGGCCCTTTGGCTCTGTTCTGAGAAGGGCAGCTGCGATGCCCCCTTGACGGTGAATCTGTGAACACTTTCTCGAGAAGACCAGGACACCCGCTGGGAACCTGGACGTCGTGAAAGTAAGTTTGCCCTCAGCCAGGGTAGGTGTGCCTGCCAGACCGGTTCATCGAGCTCTGCCAGCAGCTGTGGCTTCAGCTTGTTGTCGAGCCCTGGCCTGCCCAGCAGCAAGCACCGCATCGGGAATGGGGGGCAGAGATACAAAGGGGGCATGGGCTTGGCTTAAACTGGTGGAGCATGAAGCCCAACCCCTCCAATTCTAGGGATGTGGAAGAGGAGGGAGGGAGGGAGCGAAGGCAGGCACAGACCCGGGTGCGGGAGTGGGCACAGGCAGCATGGGGGGCAGGGAACCCAGCCCTGTCGGGCACTGGGTAGGTCCAGGCAGGCTCAGGCCCTTGCAACCCAGCGTCAGACAGAGCCCCCTTCTTTGCCCGACAAAGACACCCATTTCCTGTCCCTCCAGAAAACTTCCCAAGCCACTCTGCTTCGCGAGGATGAGGACTCCCCATGAGCCAGGACAGTCTCCAAGAGTGACCTGACCCAGGTAAAGGGCGCTCGGCAGCTCTCTGGTCCAGGTTTGAGGAACACGATTCATCCTCCACTCCCCTCTCAGCTGCCACCATGAGCCACATGCCAGAAAAACTCCTTAAAAATAGCCATGCATTTTTGCGAGGCAGGCACCGGAACCACTGAGCTAAATCCCTGGCCCTTCAGCCGTGCATTTTTTACCTAATCCCATGACATCGTTGCTCATTTCCCGGCTGCCAAGCATCTCAGCCTGTTAGCTTCACCCTTTCTGCACGAACACGTTAGGTTTTACATCTGTTTTTTGAAAGTCTATGAGAAAGATAATTTATGGGAAAATCAGAAATAATGGGTTTGGGGTATCAAACGGGTTTTCAAAACCGTACTCTCATGAGTAGAATAAAAAGCTTTTTGGATTTTTGTTTTAAAAAACCTCTTCCAGGAAGCCACGGAATTTAGTGGTTTTATGAAAGGAAACAAATACTAAACAGGAGAATGTCATTGCATGCATCCGGGGCTGCAGGAGAATTCCACCTTATACGTGTGGGTATTAAGCTGCTTTGGCCCTGTGTGGAGGGGTGTGTTTGTTTTTCCATCTGATTTGTATATTCAGTTTGGCACCTGGGTTGTGGGCCCATGTGGTGAAGGCAGATTAAAAGTGACGGCTTTAAAACAAGACTGTAAAGGTTAACAGACCAGGAAATGGACAAATTACTGTCACCCACCATAGACAGGCCGGTGGCTCTGTCCCTTGTCTTGCCTGCAGCAGCTCATCAGACCTTTGCTCTAGTTTCCCACAGGCCAGTCAGAAAAATAATTTCTGGACACCAGGGCCTCCCCAGGGCATCGCCGCAGGTGCCTCTAAGCCAATTTGGAAGTGACAGCGTCCTAGCGTGTCCCCTTCCTGCTCACTGCCCAGGTCCTTCATGTCCTGGGTTGCAAATCATCCAAAGTCCTCGGTGTCCCACTTGCTCTTGACCTGGTTTCCTGCTTTCTCTCTGGCACTGGTCACCGCTCAGAACAATTTTCCCACCTTTGGTACAAGGATCCAGGTGGTAGGTGCTGCAACGACCCTTTATTTGTGTGCAACACCTGCATTCAGTGTGCAGACTCCGCCAGGTAACAGCCCCTATGGCGTTCTGCTTACTGTCCCGGGGAAGAGAGGAGTGACAGAGGGAGAGGATGGTGGAGGACCGTGTGTGCTCCAGAGACGGAGTCTGAGAGAGGAGAGGAGGGAGGGAGGGGG